AGTGTCCATGAGTTATTTTAACTGTCGCTTACAAAGTTGCGAAATTACAGCAATTCAACTGGAGAAATACTATCCGATGAAGTCAGTGATGTTGAAACACTGGATTATCAGCATTTATTTATTAATATTCTTTCTAGCTAACGCTTGAAGAGGGATGTGTCTTTTTGAACTTGTAATTTCGTACTAGCTGCTACAAAGAGACTAGTGACATATCAGAATCACTACTCAAAAAGTGAATTAGCGGATCATTTTCATGCCTGCCTTTTCAAGCTATCACTAAGATTCTTTTGAAACCTTTCTCCAAAGACGTCATTTTCCCCATCAGAGTTTGATGCAACTCTTCATTATTTTACAAAAGGAACGTATTATTGCCGGCCTACTTATCTTCGTATTTCTGGAGGGATGTAGTACAACATATTTAACTATTTTTTTTTTCAAGTATTCCGACGCCAAATCTCAGTGACCAAAACTATGGAAAAACAAATCATCCGAGTATCAAAGAAGTTTCGTCAGATTGCAAAACAAAAAATACTTACGATATGGCAATTTCATTCTTTACAACTTGTTCCTGTTTAATTGCGGCCTTCTTTGAGAACGTTCGAGAAACTTCTTATTGCCAAGGAGACAGGAAATAACGGACGTTATTTAATTGACCTTATCCGCCCATATAGACCCTTTGCCTCAAGCATCGGATCAGGCTTTTCCTTCTCCTTTTACTCTTCCTTCCTCTCTTGTGAATTTCCCAGTATATTGCTGCTCTTTTCCTGAAATCTCTGAATACAGACAACTTCTTTTTTCGTATTAGTTGGTAGAATGGTTCAAATTAAAAGCTGCATCAGTTCGAAACCGTTTCGTGCTTGGCTGTTCATTTGGCATGTTGATCCTGTCAAGCGGATTCAGCGCCAAGCCATTAAAACCGTGTACCTTTAACCTTCGCAATTGTTCACCATCAGTTTAAAACAACGCGATGGTATCTATAACAGCGTCTCACTTCTTGGCATTCCATTACATGCAAGGAATTGACACCTTCATCCAGAATTGATTTGCGTCAATAATGTTGTTAGTATTTGAAAAGCATATTTTGACTTTTTGCCATTGAAAACCTACATTGCCATCATCGTCATCATCATCATCAAACTACACAGTGAAACACTAATAGTGAGACACATATGTTGTGGAAATATATTAAGATGCGCCTTGAGCTTAATTCTTTGTTTCAACGTATTTCTTTGTTTGATTTTCTCTGATCTTTGAATGTGGGTCAGACGAATGATAATTTCTATATATTCAAAACTTTTGGCTCTGACGAACACTGGTGGATGCTTTATGTGAAAAACCTCTCTTTAATCTCTAATCAGTAAGATCGTCGCGACTTCG